ATCGGGAAATATGTAACCAATTTCCTGTTAGCTTCGCAACATTAATTCGTCTCTGTGTATCGTTTGGCATATTTCGCGCGTTTGTCGTGCAAATGTTCGATTCCCTGTCTTTTTTTTCTTTTCTCTTTTTCTTTCTTTCTTTTTTTTTTTTTTTTTTTTTTTTTTTTTTTTTTTTTTTTTTTTTTTTTTTTTTTTTTTTTTTTTTCCAACATCGATGACGCTACAATGAATTCGTCGTCGAACAGATCAAAGAAAAGGTAGGCGGCGCGAGCGTCGACTCAATTATGCGAAACGCGCAACGTAAATTCGATAACTACGCGTTATGCAAATTCGCGTTGAAAATTCGCGTTCGACCCAGGTCGTATGGTTTCGTTCCGCCAATTTACGTCATTCTTTCGTTCTTTCTTTCTTTTCTCTTTCTTTTCTTCTTTTCTTTTTTTCTTTTTTTTTTTTATATCGCGTTTGTTAGAAGGTTATTGCTTCCATTTAATATCTACGTTTTCCCGGACGTCAATATAAACTTGTTTTATATTCCCTCTTTACCTTCAATTCTACTTTCTCCCTCCGGTTCCCTTCTTTTATTCACACTCGCCGGCAACGAACTCGATGGCAACGAAGATGGCCGGCTGTTCGTTCGCATGGAAAAACGGTCGGTATTTCGACGGGGAAAGGGGTTCCATTAATATCTATTAGCAAGCCGTACTTGACGTCACTCGGATTTTGTTCTTGTTCTCTCCTTTTCCGCGGCGTCCTTTCTCCTAGAGGAGGAGAATCGAAAGTAAAGAGGGTCTGGAAGAATCGGGGATTCGGTTGTTCCTTGAAATATGAGGAATCGTTTGTTCTCATTAACCAAGGACAGTGGAGGGATCGAGATGGCGATACGTCACTGCCACACGTTCCACCGATACGTTTTCTGAATTATCGATACGTCAACTGGATTTTAAAATTGCGGGTCGTGAACACTCCTTAAGGGGAGCGTTGCCTCGATTATTCTTCTTGCTTCGACTTACTCTTATGAAAAATCGAAAGAAGAATTCTCGCGTTGTTCGTGAAATTTTCTTCGACGATTTGAAAGTTAAATTTAAATTCGACGCGGATCGAATTAATTATTCACGCGTTTGTGATAAAAAAAAAAAAGTAGATTAGAACAAATTTGAGAAAAACATCGCAGGAGAAATCTTTTAAATCTTGCATCCAAGATTACGGTGCAAAAATATCTCTGGAACTTCTTTATTAATAACACGATAACAGACACATTCTTTCGGTGATTATTTCAAGAGAATGAATTTAAAATATTTCATCTCGTTATTAATAATTCAATTCGATCGAAATGATTATGAAAAGTTAACGTGAAAATATTCGACGAATGTTGGCGAAAAGTTTCGAAGTGTTGGAAGAGGGTGAGGAGGGGAAAGGGGATAAATCTAAAGAACGCGTAATGAGTATTCTTTAAAGTTTTTACCTTTGGAAAAAATATATTTCGTACAAAATAACAAAAATTATCTCTGAAAGATGCATCTCTTTCGAAATTATTTTTTTTTTTTTTTTTTTTTTTTTTACGGATGAAGCACAGTCGTAATAATTTCAACGAATTTATCGAACGTTTCAAGAGAAATTTATCCTCCTCGATTGTGCGTCCCACGGACTTTCACCCCTCCGATAAAATATAACACGACGAAACACGAGACTGCTATTTATTGTATTAATCGACTTTCCTATAATTAATCTAACTTTTTTTTTTTTTTTTCACGTCTCTTTAGCTTAATGCAACGCATTTGATTCGTCGATCAAGTCTATTTGTCTTCGTTCCGTGCGGACGGGCGCACGTGCGCGTAATTCAAGCGCGTGAATTGAAAACGCGTGTACGAATATCTGGTCTGGTACGGGCCAGAAAAATGCTGGAAACTCGTAAAACGCGTACGAATTCAAAGAGGTCGTAATTAGTCGAGCTAGGGAACACGTGTCGATCATAGTGAAACAATCGTTGTCCCTCTCTCTCTTTGCCACTTTTCCTTTTTTTCCCTCTCCTCTTTTTCTTTTCCTTCCTTCCTCTCCCTCTCTCTGTCTCTCTCCCCTTCCTCTCTTTTTATTCGTATCGCTTTTACGAAGTCCTCGCCTCTTGAATTTCTTTTCCAAAACCGAAACGTCGAAAGGGGGTCAATCGAAAATCGTGTGCGCTCGACGTGATGGTAACAAGTTCGAATGTCTCAATGATGCGTTTGAATATATATATATATATAGTATCGGTGTTGAATTAAATATCGACTGGAGGAATCGCGCATTATCCAGTTGACCGAAATATATATTTTCGCTCTCGCACGTTTCCGATTCCCCGATAAATCGAATTTCGATACGCGAATTTCTTTCATCCGTACGTACGAATCGAAAAGCGATTGATTCGAAGAGTTAACGCGGCGCGATCAAGGTAACCGCACGTGTAAATATTTGAATGGAACGCGAGTATCTATCTGGGGTCCGTTTATATCGAGAGAGAGAGAGAGAGAGAGAGAGATGTGTACGCGTCTCGATTGTTTGTTCAAAATAATATTTAACGTGGCATTGGAAACAAGTGTTAGGCGATGATATCGGTTTATATAGCCTGTCTGTTACTAATCAAACGAAATAGAGAGGAAGCGTCGAATCGATTTCGATCTCGACGCGCAGGTGACTAATCGGAAATTGAGGGAAGTTGAGCCGGAGATATTACCTGTACACCGTCATCGGCCGTGTGATACGCTCTTTCAATTTCCAAACGTCACTTCTTTGACACCCGGTGTGAATTCGATGATGGATATCGCCTTGTTGATTTGCATTCCCGTAAAGTAGCAAAAGGATTCAAGGCTTGTTTTCAATTCCGCGTCGAGAATCCCTCTAATTGTTGTTTAATTCGTTCCTAATTATCCGTTTTACGCGGCCACGTTCTCTTTCACGAGAGACTGGATTGAAATGAAATCGATTCAAAGCTTGTGTAACCATAGCCATTCCATCGTTCTTTTCGAACTCTTTTTTTTTCCCCTTTTTCTTTTCTTTTTTTTTTTTTTTTCTTTTAACGATTTAATATCGTATGATACGTAATTATGGAACGAAACGGTTGGTCACGGATTGGTACAGCGTGTAATCAGCGTCGACGAAGCCGATACAAAGAATCATAATACGCTTTTATCATAATTAAAACGTCGGGAGGATTTAATTCACCGTTGATATTCCGACGGTTGCGCAAGGATCGTTTTCATTTTACAAAACGATTGCCGTGTTTTAAAGCCCCCGACCCGATTTGCAGGGGTGGTGGAAATCTTGCGATCCTCAATTTTCCAAGTGTGCCTATCGCGCGGTTGCATCTCTTAAAGTTATTTAACTTTCGCCATATTTTATCTGGCCGGGACGGACGATACTTCGAACAATATGAGGACGAAATGAAATCGTACGTACTCGTACTTGCGCTATCACGCTCGTGGCGAATCCTTGCATAATCTACCAAAGTGTTTTTGGCTCGGTTCTTCGGAGGGAGGGTTAAGGGACGATAGAGAAACGGATCGAAGATAAAATTTGTATTTTATTTTCAATTGACGTGGAATCATCACGTGAAATCACCGTATTTTTCGAGAAGTTTTAGTTTAGAGATTGGCTTCGATCGATATAAAAGATAGAGATATTAATTATGGTTTATCGAGTAAAATTCTACTTGTATATATTCTATCTTTCTTTTATTTCTCTTCTTCTTCTTTTTTTTGTTCTTTTGTTTTTCATAAAAAGCTTATGCCGCCATAAAAGTGAGATTGCAGAGTGAAGAGAAAGAGGCGAGAAATAATAAAAGTAAGCGAAATAAGAGCAAAGAGTGAAAGAAAAGGTTAGAAATTTAGAAGGGAATTATGCATAAGAGTGTTCTTTTTGAGCGGTGAATGAAAGATTAAAAGATCAGTAGTCACGGCTCATTACTGGCCAGACAACCGTGGCGCAACAGTATATCCTGCATAATCGCGTACGTATCTCTTTTTTATTAAGTTTGATTCACACCGATTCCTTAAAAGTGTCTACAAAATTTAAATTCCGTCGTACATTTTAAAAATGTATGAAACATCTTTTTAAAATATAATTTCAAACGATTATTTTTAAAATATTTAATTGTAAATTGCCGTTTATGAATTATTAATTTTTACATTTATATTTTCAAATATTAATAATCATTTCGAGTTTTCGAATTGTATGCCCACTTAAAAAATCTTTAAACTTTAATTCTTTTCTTTTAATATCTAACATAACGTAACATACGTTTTTTTTTTCTTTTTAGAATTTTCTTCAAAATTCTGAATTTTCTCTGAATTTTGTCTATTATCAAAGCCAAAAAAAATTCAAGACCTATGCGTTCTTCGTGTTATTTTGTACAAACTCAGGACAAGTTCGATCGAGTTTCCGTTTTGTAACCAGTGCTATTTTAGCTGATTTATCGGTGAGTTCCTTTCGTCGCTGTTAGCTCGATATCGGTTTTCCTCTATCTTTTTTTTTTCCCCCTCCCCTCCTCCCTCCCCCCTAGCTACACGTATCCGCCTATACGTGTGCTCTGTTATCCCTTCCAACAATTCCAACGGGGTTCTCGATCACCAGCAACGTTTATCCTCAATGCTCAAACCTTCGCCTCGCGCGCCACTGTTTTCTCCTGTCATCCCTCTTTCCACCTCCCCCACCTCCTCCTCCTCCATCTATCCATCTCCCTTTCCCTTCCCCTTTCGATTGCCTGCAGAACGTCACATCGTGTGACAGACCCTCGTCACTTGCTGTCTGCAGCCAATTGCAGAGGGGGCCCGGGTTACCGCCCTTTTCAAAGTTTCTCGTTCCGAAAAACGTTTGGACAACGAACAGTTCGACTCGGATTGTCCGGAATTTCGTTTCGTTTCGTTTCGTTCCGTTCACTCGCCCGTGGGAATCATTGAATTACTTGTTTCGATGTTTCTTTTATTTCTATCTCTATTTTTTTTCCTCCCCCCTTTCTCTGCCTGTTACAGATTCCACGGTGCCCATAGGCCTCTGCCTGCTGATCGAGAAGGGTCTGTCGTTGGTGAGTAACCCTTTTAATATCGCCGCTAACCCGAACCCCACTTTTTCCTTTTTTCTTTTTTTTTTTTTCTTTTTTTTTTTTTTTTTTTTAAACGAACCGCCGCAAATGTATTCCCCGTGCTAATACGAGCGACACAGGATGCGCGGGAATATTAAAAAACTTTCTCCCCCGCGTGTGTGTTCCGCGGAAATTTGTACATTTTTTTTCCCTCTTCTTTCTTTTCTTTTTTTTTTTGTACACGACAACGCAAAAAAAAAAAATAAATAAATAAATCGGACGGGGATAGTGTTGAAAAGAGGGTGACGGACGTGGAGGAGAGGGTTGTTTAAGAGAGAAACGCACGAAAGTTGGAAAAATATTTTTCACCCGTTTTGCGGCTGCTTTTTTTCCCCACCCCCTGTTCTGGCAAGAAGCATGTTGCTAAACTAAACTAATAATAATATCTCGAGCATATGGCGTCGCTGCCGGAAACTTTACACGTTCGTGTAAAGCAAAAAATGGCAGGCGTGTATATGTACGAGGGACGAGATCCGTGGCTCCGTTGCATTTTTCTCGTATCGAGTCCGGCCATGTTGTCCCAGATTCGAGGACATTCTTTTACATTTCTGTTAAACTGTCGATTCTATCGTTCCCTTGAAACCATCCAGAGGAGTTTATTATCCGTTTATTTTCCCGCAAATAAAAACGTGATCGCGATGTGACACGAAAATCCCGTTTCGAAAAGGGCAGAGCGCGTTTCGATCGCGAATCTCACGGCAGAGATCTCTTAATTCTAATTTCCAATTGTTCTTTCTTGCGGCGGGGAAACATTCGCGGAACTCGAACTCGTAAAGTCGACACGGACGCGGTTATTCACGTTTTGGAAATTAAATTTTTTCGTTTATAGCTTCCTAGACAGCACGAAGGCAATTTCCTGGTCAGTAATTTTGAAACTTTATGAGTTTACGACTTGAGCCCGGACCATTTCCAACGAATATACGGAGTTTCTGTACGTGTCATATAATGAGTCTGCTATGAACTGGTAATTCTGTTTCAACCGGATATAATTTCTCGCCAATTAAATCGTCGATAAAAAGAAATCATCTCTCGAGTTTTCTTGGAAATATTGAAATATTTCGCGCAGCAATCTCGCGCCGTTTATTTATCGTGAGATTTATTTTTATTTATAGATTGATACATGAAATATCGTTCCTCCAAAGTTCGAACTTTCAATCGAATATTGTTCTTTTCGTTACTTATCAAGTGGAGTGATTAAAGATAAATTTATAAATCACGTGTGTAAAATGTTAATATTATTTATGATTTATTACTCGATATATCGATACGTTATGCATGAGAATTAATCGGAATATTAGATGAAAATATAAATTGAATAAAATTTCAAAATTTCGAGAAAATAAAATACGAAAAGCGAATTAGAAAATAAAGAATTTTATTTTATCCTTCTTTCGAATTGAAATTATTTTAAAATAATCGGATAATTACAAAGTATAAAAATTATTATAAAAATAGCGAAAAATCTACGATTAAAACACACGATCCTTCCGATTAAGTAGAAACTCAAGTTTTAATCGAGTCAAGCTGTAAATCGAATTATCCCAAAGTAAGTTCTTGCGCTGGATCAGCATAAATTGAGCATAGATAGAACTCGTGGATTAAATAAAGTGCACGAAATGAAATCTTGTTGACGTGGATATAGATCCAGTTCGCGGGTTATTAAATACGTGAGAAGTATCGAGAAAGCGCGGAGTATCGAAGAAAATATATCGAAATATAACGAAATCTTACCTCGATTTATACAGTGTGTGTTAAAGATTCGTGATTTTAATTCACCATTAATTCAAGATTCAATTGGTTGAATCAATCCAATCGCTTTAGATATTTATTTATGAGTATTCAAGAGTATTGTTTTATTGGAGATCGAATTTAATATTTTTTTATTTTTTTATCAAAGAAATTTTTAAATTCTATAGAAATATATTGGAATATATTGTAATTGGCGACACGGAGCGGCGATACGACCGTTCGAAACGACGGCTGAATCGCGATTGATTCTAAATTTTATTTGTATTAGAAAGGGCGTTGTAAAATCGAACGTTCGAAATTTATAAACATACTAGCGTCGAATATCACTTTATTTCTACTTTATATAGAAAAGAATTATTAAAAATTATTTTTTGAATTAAGATTTAATTTATCGAATTTTTATAATATTTTTTTTTATGTGCATATTCCGGAATCACAATTTAAACTGCATAAATTTTTATTTTATCTTCTTCTTTTTTATTTAGCATTATTTAGCACTTTTTTATAACAAATTTTTATAAATAAAAAACATGTGTATTAATATTTAATATTAATAAATATTTTACTTTTTTTATTTTTAAATTTAATGCATTTTGGAAGAATTTATAGGCAATATAAATTAAGAAAAAAAATATGCAATTGAAAGAGACTTTAATGACACGATTTCCTTTATTCTCTGAATGTGTTTTATTGATTTATTAGGTATTTTTAATATATTTTTTTATATATTAATCGAATAAGTAACGCGTTTATAGATGAAAACTTGCAAACATAAAGAACGAATTAAATAAAACGAAATTAATGAAACATTTTTTATATGTATATATAGAATCGAAAATTCGTAAATCTTGTATCGATGGAAGATTCATTGGTTTAATCGATTCGTTCATTTCGGTAAGAGCGAGGTTACTTTTCTCTTCGCGGTTAAAAAAAAAAAAAAAAACGAATCACGTCGTGAAAAATGAAGGTTTATCACACGCGATAACACCTAGTTTAACACGGAATCCGTTCTCTTATCGCGAAGTCATAAAGATGATCAAACCAGCCATTGATACGCTCATCGTGGTTTCGATGATCGGCCTAGCGTAACGTTGCAAAGCGTGACTTCCATCCTCTTCTCTCTTCCTCTCTCTCTCTCCTACCCGTGTCGAGGCGAATTAGCGATGCTCTGGATAACGTCTATATACCTTATATCGTATATTCCCCTTGGCGATGACGCAAATACACGTCTGCCATCGTGTTAGCGTAAACATTGCCAAGTCCTCCGCACGGGGACCGCATCGTGTGTGCATCGATCAACGTGAAGGAGCAATCTGTCCTCGTGAATCTAAATTTTCCACGAATTTCGAAAAACTGACCCTCGGTTCACCTGGCTCGTCGTTAGGCTTCATTGTTGGGAGAAGGGAGGAAAAAATTTGGTTAAATTTGCGCCGAGTAATTGATTTACCGTCTCAATTATACGGATATTTGGTAGGAAATTTAGCGATATTGAATGTATATACGTACAATATTCGGTGCATATATAATATATCCCTCGATATGTTCCTGGATCTTATACGTGAAAGGATTATTTAAATTACTAATGATACGTGGAATTTAAGGATTTAAAGGCAGAAAAAAGAAAAATTTATAAAATTATTTTAAATAGATTAAACTTAATAAATTTGTATCGGTTTTGTACGAATTTTATAGATATATAAAAATTTTTTTTCTTCTAAAAAACATTGATAAAAAATAGCATCGGTGTCGTACGAAAAAATACAATTAAATATTATTGGAAAGAAATATTATTTATATATTCACAAAATTGGATATATAAAAAGTATATAAAATTTCATATTTTTATATACTCATATATTATATATTAATATATAATATTGCGTATTATGTATTATAAATAGCACGATAATTAAATAATCTATCAAATAATATTTACAATATATATTATAAAGTGGAAACAGAACGGCGCGTTCGATGTAAACGAATTGTGTGTTTACGAATTTGGATTATCGGTATTAACCTTCGACGCAATTCCCAATATTTCTCCGTAACCTTTCTAGCTTAAACCAGTTTTAAAATCAGTCGTCATTCGGATTTCGCTTCGAGCGGTCGCGTCGTCGCTCTGTGTCGCTAATTACAATGTATTTTCGCGTGTCCAAGTTTAATATCTCGTTATACATTTCCATATCTGCGTTCAACATCTCGATTCCTGTTATTCGACAACTTTATATCGGGTGAGTTTCATTAACAATTAAATAATCTTGCGTATTTGCGATACGTTAACAAATTGCAAACCGAATATTACCGGTTGTTATACGATTATCATGGAGACAATCGCGGGGAAACACGGTCAAAAGTTGTTTCCCGCAATCGTTCCCACCTCTCGCCTGCCTCTCCAACGATTAAATTTACGTTTTATATGAGATACGCGTATAGTTTAATTAAATTTTGTCGAACATACGTACGATTGGTTTGGAAACGATACATTTTAACGTGTAATTGGTATATCGCGCGGAGTCAACGGACGAAATTACATTCTTCTGGGAGCTAATTTCCTGGCTGGGTCGAACCAGTACCAATAGTAGCAATGGCCACCTTGCTGAACTTGATAATTACCATAGCCTGATTAATCGTCGGCCGCTAATCGAGTAATAATTTGACTAATGACGATCGCACGGGAACAACATAGTATGAATAATTTGACGATACGAATAATCACCCTGTGCGTATGAATAATACATGACAAATTAATCCCCAAAACTAACAGGGAGCCAGGCGGTGCAATTTTCAACCCTGTCCTACGCCCTCCTATCAATTTTCCAGGGATCAGTCTCTCTATCAAGCTTGTGAAACGTATCGTGCATAATATATATGTATATATATATATATATATATATATATATATATATACATATATGAGGGAGAAGGATACGATATGAAAACAAAAGGAAATATGGAAAGGGGATAAAAAAATAGGGAATAGGGAAGAAGAAGGAGAATAGATTAAAAAAAGAAAAGAAAGAAAGGGAGAGAGAGAGGGAGGGGAGAGAGATGGGAAAAAAAATAACACGAAAGATCGAAGCGTGCTACTAATTAAAATGCAAATGGCCGCATTTTATTAACGTGGAGAGTGGCGGACGCGTCGTAAGTAATGTCACGGTTTTACGGGGCGAGTATTAGCATGGCTTTTACCTCGGCTGATTATCTCGATAGATCCATTTGTCTCGATTAACATGTCCTGTTAATTCGATCAGCCGGAATTCCATTTCCTGTTAATACCTTTCTATCAGCCCGTGATCGTCCCGTGATCGCAATCAAAGAGACAAGAGAGGAGGGATTCCTCCCTTCGTCGCTCCTCGCGTGGCCAATTATTATGCTTGCCTCGTTCAATCCCCTCGTTCTCTCTCTTTGTACCCGGCGAAGACGAACGAGGAAGAGGGGATTTTCGCGTTCCCGTTGCGCCCGTTGCACCCGCGTGAATGTTTCAGTTGTGCAATTTGCCGGACCTCGCTTCAAATTCATGGTATTCTTTTGTCCCACCGTAATTGGGTCAAGCGCTTCGTAAATATTTGCCCCGACATATCCGGTTGCCGTCGGTTTAGTTGCGGACAAATACCCTTTCAGTTTGGATCCAATTGGATGCAAGGTTTCATAAAACTCGAAGGATCGATGCAAACTCGTAAGTAGACGGCGGAGCAAGAAGATTCATCTCGAAGAAATCGGACGATCGAGAATCTTTCGAAAGTGGCAACATTCGTGAAAAATTCTTGTCATTGTCTTATTTGCTTATAAATAAAGTTTATTCGCTGCGTATAAATAATGGGGGAGGGGGGATGAATGTAACGAATGGTTGTTTTTATTTTCTCTCTCTTTTTTTTTTCTATTCTCCCCTTTTCCTCTTTTCTTCTTTTTTTTTTTTTCACAATCTTCCTTTCGAGAGCGGGTTCAACGGTGCTGAGCGAACGGCGCTAAGGCTGACAACGGAAAATATAACGCGGAAGCGTGCCGCGGAATATTTTATATCAGATGAAAATGTTTCATCACTGGCACGGTTTCGTTTTTACCGCTGTGTATTTTGAACGCGTAATCCCGCGTAGTAGTAGTAGGCGCGTATTAAAATTGGGAAGGGGAGGGGGGAGGCAGGGACGATGAGTTTAAATAATTAACCCTGGCCCGGCTGTCATTTCATTTTTTATCGCGCTGCATGAGTTGAATAAGTGATATCTCGTTACGATTTACTACTAGTCGAATGGAGAATAATCCGCGTACAACGGTGGTCGAATAATTCGAAATGCTCGCTCGCCAACAATAACGTAATAATATTTTTTTCTTTGTCGATTTAATTATTGTCAATTGTTTCACGGCATGACAAAAAGAAAAGAAAAGAAAGAACGAAAGATAAATCGAATCGAAGAGACGACAAATTAGATTCGATCGATAGATAGAAATCGATCGAGTCTAACACGTGACGTATTAGCGTGACGCAAGACAAACGTGGAGCAAACGTCCCCTTTAATTCGTGGATCGCAAGGCCGTATCGCAACGCGATATTTAAATAACCAAGTTCTTGCAGGACAAGCGAGATCGTTCCGCTTGGCAGTGGATTTTGCAACAGACGTGGCCGGATACGGGGCCTCTGCATGGATAATAAACGACTTTCGGTAGTTCAACGGACTGCGTTTCAGCTTTCGTATTTTGAGAAGCTGAACGTTCTCCGGTCACCATCACCCCCCTCCGCGCCGCCGAGGACGAGGATGCCGCGTTCAAGCACACCCCACCCCCTCCTTCCTCCCCCGCTTTAGTGCCTGTCCTCCACCTCTTCCCCTTTCCTACCCTGGTTTCATGTGCCACGCGCTCCCTGCAACCGACTTCCGCTCGTAACTTGTACCTCTCTATTTTGTGCCGCAGGATATCATAGCTCACGGGCCAGGAATGGTGTTCCACATCGTAAACCTCATCGTGATGGTACTGATGCCGATGGTGGTCATCCACGTGAAGGATTCCGGATTCAGCCTGTGTAAGCGCCATTTTACGTATCATTTCATTCAACGCGATGCTCGATCCCGTGTATATGCTCGCACCCACGTATCGCGCGATGTACGATGGCGACCTATCGAAATGAAATATTGGGGAGGGTGGGGGGATGTACGACATCGTGAAGGTGTCTTCGCGTGGCGTAACGACGTTTCTGCTTTCTGGATAAGACGATATAGAGACCATTTGGAATGGAAATTATTTCTCGAAGCGTTGATTCTAAATTTCAGAAAATCGTGACGGCGAATTCAACGGATATTTTCTTTCGTTTTATTATGTTTCAGTTGTTTTTTTAGTTGTTTCGCGATAATACGAATCATTTTTTTTTTCTGATGGAAACGAAATTAATTGCGAATATCGCAAAATTTTTGTAATTTTTTTTCGATGTCGTATTAAAAAAAAAATTTAAATTGTTGTTTAAACGTTTTTGATAGGACTTTGCTTTTCGCTTTTTTGCTTTTCGCGTACTTTTTTTTTCTTTGACAAAAGAAACGTATAGAGAAGTGACGTATAGAGAGAATCGTAGGGAGAAGAAGGCAAGTGTTTCACAAGCGAATATTACACTTTTAGCCACGTGTGGAAAACTTCTAAGTCCATTTACGAGTGCATAGCTCGTATGGTTACGGGCGAACAATTTTGAATTATTCCGTCTGCGCGAGTTGCAAAAATGCAAAAGCTTAGGGAATCGGGGGACGTACAAAGGAAGGAATGTCGAATCGAAACTTTCAGCTTTAATGAAACTTTATAGCATTCCGTGAATTTCGAGCATCGTTTCTCTTTTCACGCGATATTGGTGTCCGTTGAGCTGTTTAATTATCGAAACGCTACCGTATATACGACGTTAGTGTTGTAATCATGCCGTTTAATTCGTTGCCATTGCAAAAGTTACGCAAAAGAATGCTATTTAGATCGTATAGCTGTCTGCTTTTCGAATATCTTTCTCTCTCTTTCCCTTTGGCCTTCCTTCCTTCCTTCCTTCTTTTCTTTCCTTCTTTCTTTCTTTCTTTTTCAATTATCTCGACCGATGTAAATCGAATCCATTGTCTCGCCTGTCGCCATGTTTACCATGTTTTTATATATGTATTTTCGCTCTCACCAATCTCGCCAATATTAGATCGATTAACGAGAGATAAACATATCGGTGATTCGCGCTCATTAACGCGATATTTTTAATTTTCGGCCGATTTTGATCAGTCGTGTCTACCTTCGATTCTACACGATGTCGGCACGATGCTTCGATTCTCGTTACGCGACGAGGCGGGCGTTGTAGCGGGGTATCAAAAATTCTATTTAAATGCAATACGCACGGTGATCCGTGAGATCTGACGGTCGAGTGTCATCGTGCACACGAATGCAATTACACAGGGGAGGCAACGATTGATCTACGACTCGATCGATTGTTCGATTATGCCGGTGAAGTTTGAAGTTTAAATTAGCAGGAAAACAAAATTTCATTTGTTTGGCGGATTACAGTTCAATCATGATATTTTTATATCCCATATTTCCTTCCCCGAATACACTTTGAAAATATTTTTTTTTTTTTGAAAAATAATTCTGGCCTCCCCCGAAATATATGATATATTTTGATCAAATTTTTTTTTATCAACTTCTTTTGTTATTAATCTATTATTTAAATTTCATTTATTTGTCGGATTTGCAGTTCAATCATGATATTTTTATGCGATATTTTTCGATCAAATATATATCGCAAATATTTTTCAAAAATAATGTTTTCGAATCAAATATAACGTTTTAAAATCAAATTTTTAGACGAGCTTCTTTTTTTGTCGTTAATCTTCTACTATTTCATTTTGCTTGTCGCATCGCAATTCGATTATTATTATAATATCTTTGAAAAATAACTTTATCCCCGAAAATATAATATTTTACGAAAGATCAAAATTTTAGACGGCCCCTTTTCTATTATTATTAATCATTTATTATTCAAACTTCGTTTTTTTTTACCGGTTCAGTCGTAATTACTTATCAAGATATTTTCCGATCGTTCGATTCACGAATATTTCCAAGAGATAGTCTTCTCGTCAAAACATTTTATTTTCGATCGAATTTCTTTTAATTAAATTCTTGGAAATAGTCGATGGATCTGATTCCGGTCGACAATTAAATTCGCGCTGTTTACCATCTCGACGTTCTTACACGTATATATATATATATATATATATACATATCCAACCTGTAGCTTGTAGAACCCAAACAAATAATTAAAGTTGGCGAGAAAAACCGTGGTAAAAAAGTTTCTCGCCGATCTAGTTGCCCGCGGGGGTTGCGAATCTCAATTAAAAGAGATTTCATTGGGACGTCTTTGGGGCAAGAACGATCGAAGAAAAGCAATTAAAGAGTAAACGCATCGAAGAATCTGTGGAAAGAGGGGATTCTAATTAAAGAATTTCAAATTAAAACATCTTTGGCAATGGACGCGCGCCCGATCTTCCTTTCGATATCGAATCCTTCCGATCTTCGAGATTCGGATCCTTTCCTTTTTCTTCTACTTCTTTTTTTCCTTTTCGAAAAAGGGCGTCGTATCATCGTAAAAGATCGCTTCCAAAGTTTTCTTCAGAAGGGGGGGACGGATGTTTCGCGTTGATTAAAGGATGGCGGATTAAAACTAACGAGAGGCATAATAATACGAAAGTTGCTCTCGCCGAGGAATTTTTTCGCGGGCGTTGTACGACGATTTGCGTTCTTGGCCGAGGTTTTATTATGTCCTTCGAGTTATTCTTTCCTTGACTGAGTCGCCCGAGTTTATTGCGGATCTTTTATCGCGGGGCCGGGAAACTGTGCGACTTCTCTTCTTCCTCTTCCTCCTCCTCCTCCTCCTCCTCCTCCTCTTCCTCTTCTTGTTCTTCTTCTTTCCGTTGCGTGAGGATAAATCAAAAAAGTTTGATTTAACGTTTGTTTGATTTAAATGTTTCTCTGAAACCAGGAGAAATTTTTAAAGTTATTATATCCATCGTATTCCTCGATAGAAAAATAAATAACGGATTGGAGCGATAGAAGAAAGATTTTTAGAGAGATGGAGAAGAATAAAATTTTCCGATAAAAGTTTTACGTACAGTATGCTACGTTTATCGTTATATGTTATTTTTTTTAGCTCTCGAAGAAGGGAAAGTCGGTAGATTTTTTCGTTGCGTCTCCCGACGCGGGATATTTCGCAAACGGCAAACAACGGTTGAAACAATTGAAAAGAAAGTGGAGTACACGAAGGATAGATAGATACGCGCGATCCTTAAACCGGCGAGAAAAGTCGTCTTGTCGTCGACACGTGAGCCATATAGAGAGATTCATACGTGAACTTAGTCGGTACATCCGGTTGTGTAAGCGCTTCTTAAAAGTTCTGAAGTCTGTGCCTAAAGGTGGTGCGGGTGAAGTGGGCGCGCGCAAGAGAACAAGAGTCGGCCTTCCTCCCTCTCCTTCCTCCGTCTCCGGCGTCCTCCTCCCTCCCATCTTCTTTTCTCGGTCGGTTCCTTTTCCGCCGTTTCGTCGAGATCCTCGACCCCTGACTCGACACGCGAAACGACTCACGTATGCGCGCGAGAGAGCGTGCTCTCGGGAAAAAGAGAAAAAGGAAGAAGGGAAGAAGGAAAAGAGAAGAAGAAAAGGGGGAGGGGAGAGAAAGAAAAAAATGCGGCCAGAGTAGACACGAGCTCTCCTCCTCGTCGAGAAGATCGAGGTCTTTGCGCGCTGCGTTTCAAAGCAGTTTTGTCTTTTGATTGGCGGCGTGAAAGGACGCAAAGCAACCCCCCCCCCCCCCCCCTCCGCGCCTTCGTAATTATCGACGAGCGGTTTTATTCGAGAGCTCTCTTTGCCGGGTGCCGGAATTAAAGACGTCAATGCCCGCCACTTAGCGTCGTTCCAGGGAAAAAGCGCGGACAGCCTTTCACTCGGGTGTAAATTTAATGAAACGGAGCTTCCATTTGTCGCGAGCGCCACTCTGAAATTGCATAAAGGGCCCGAGTGATTTTTCTTCCGACACACTGGTAAAGTAACTCGCAACGATTCGTGCCGATTGAAAGGTAGTTAATGGAAAAACTCCGGATCGATCTCGTTAACGATCCCCCCCTCCCCTCTCCTCCCTTCCTCGTGTCCAGGCTTGAATTATTCTCGACGTGCAACGGTCGACGTGCCTCGACGTATCATCTATATAGAATCAACAATTTTATCATTCGTATTTAAAACAAACGGAAATTTCCATTATGCACGAGCGGTAAAGACTGGTTTAACGTACGCGATCACGAAGGGGGAATATAATTTGCTCCCAAACAGGGCGCAATTGAATAAACGATAAAGCCCGAGGATCTTGAGGACACGTTGATATTATGCGCCAGAGAGAATTGTCTGCCGGCACGTGATTCCCCTCCTGTTCTTTGGAGATGCAGCGTACCATTAAAGTCAGAAGCAGAGGGAGAGGGAGAAGGAAAGAGATAGAGAGAGAGAGAGAGAGAGAGAGAGAGAGAAGGGTGGCGCGGCCGGTACAAGGGCGGATCGGGTATTCGACCGCGTCGAATATCGAACGTCGTTTCCCTCCGTTTCGTATCGAATTTTTCACGAATTGTCCAATCGTTTGCCTCCTTCGGTAATTACCGCTTTTACCCCGCGTCCCTTGCTTAGAGGCGATCGCTATGGGCGATCGGAGAAGCGAGGCAAGAGAACGCGGTTCCAAAAAGGCACCACGGATCGACGATTTAATTTTCACGCTCGTCGATCGCGATCTCGTTTCCCTGTGACGAAGTTTGAGGGAGGAACAAAGAGGAAAGGCGAATACAGGCGAGAAAATCGGGCTGATTTCCAGCAAGAATCGAAACGCGACTAGGAGAAAGGGTGGGAGGGTCGTGTAATTACGCGGCCAGGAAAATATCGACGAGCGGTCGCCCTCGAATTCCATTCCGTCTCCTCTCCTCTCCTTTTCGAATTACGGAACAACGCGACACCCAGTGGAAACGTGACACGAAGCAATCGACCTAG